AGGACCACCTGCCAAAATCCTGTGCTGCTTGGTGTTCTTTGATCTGTAAACCTGAGTCTGAGCCAGTCGGGTTGAGACAGAGGAGACCAGGCCAGTGATCCCACAGCGGCTGTTCTGTTGACTCCCAATTGCTTCCTCGGCTGAAGTCTCAGCTAAAAAAGAGAGGAATCCCCCAGTAAGAGAGACAGGTGAGGGACATGAACAGACAATTCACAAAATGCAGTGAGCTAATAAACATGAAAATGACCACCCTCCCTAACATAGGAGGCACAGAAATAACAGTACCACCTTGATGCCATTTTCTCCCTATCAATCAATTTGGCAAAGATTTTTTTTAGAAAATAATTCCCAGGGTTTGCAAACAATTCCTGATAGAAGCTATTGGCCTTTCTTAAAGCAACCTGGCAATGTGGATAAAGAACTATACAAATGTTCATTCAGGAATAGAATACTCAAGAACATTCTAGAACAGAGTGTGTCATACACAAATTCAGGGAGTTACAGGAATTGAGTGCAAGGTGAAAGTAACATTTCAAATTAATAAGAAAAGGAACCTCCAATATTGAGGACAGGATAACCTGGAAAATATTCCATCACAAAAATATCTAGAAATAATGGATAAGACATAACAAAACGCCAGAGCTTCAAAGGTAAAAATTGAACACCCTGGGGCCAAACAATGAGAAAGGACTAAAAACCAGGGGTGTAGATGGGCTGATGCTGCTCTGGCTTAGGAGGGTTAGCAACTGGATAATCTAAGGGTCTTACTTTGAAGTCTGGTGGAGACAGGAAACTGCTCTTGTTGGCCGTGTATGTGGGAGTTGGACCTGAGTGTCATGGATGGCTGGGACCACTGAAAATCTAGACCTTGAATGACAGCAATCCTCACAATAGCTTTCTGACTCTGAGACAATCCCATCTTTGCGTGATGTAACTCATTTAAAGGTCAACCTCAAGAACTGTCTTAACCTCTGATGGAGATTCTCTTTTAATCGGGTTTCTGGTCTTTCCTTTGAGCTCATCTGAGCACTTCCTTATACAATCCAAATTTTAAAAAAATTATCATTTATTTAAAAAATAAAATCTGTTTTTGGGTAAGAACCCTGCTAAGTCATTTTAACAAGACCCTTCCAGTCTTGATATCTGATTGGGTTCCTCACCCTCCACCACCCCCTAAATGATGTCCGATCATTCTAACTTTCCTCAGCCAGGTCTTCAGGTCAGGTCGGGTCAGCAGAGTCCTCCTTATTCTGGATGTTTCTTACCACTCGCTCCCAACCCTGCTCCTTGCCTATAAATCCCATGCTGTATTCGGAGCTGAGTCCAATCTTTGCAAAATCCCATTGTAAAAGTCCCTGAGTAAAGTCGGCCTTATCACGATCTAACAAGTTTATCACTGAATAACTTTTCTTCACCACCTCTGAGTCTCTGTCCACCTACAGAATCCCTACAGTAACCCTCAGTCGGTTCCCTGTGTCAAGCAGGATATCTTGTCCCAACACGTAGTCTGAACTCCCAGGAGGCCGTCAAAATAAGACGTCTTTGTATTCTCTTCTTTCTATAGTCTGTCGTTAATCAATTTGGTGGGTCTATCAGTACTCAAAATGTGATTTGGCTTCTGGGAAACTATCCCACAAATAACAGAGTACTTATAAAAGTTCCTAATCAATTATAAATGTACGAGGACATTCAATATTCTTTATTTTTAATAGAAAAACAGCTGGAAGCTGCCCCATGTCCAGTGAGAGTAGAATAAACACTATGTAGCCATTAAAAAGAATAAAGTTTATCTCTATGTATGAAAATAGAAAAAAGTCCACACAGTATCATGATTTTTAGAAAACAAGCTGTAGAGCAGCCCTGTCCTATCGAAATGGAATGCAAACTACATCGTCTTTCAGATTTCCTAGTAGAAATATTTGAAAACATAAGAAGAACTAGATGAAGTTACTTTTATAATGTATCTTAACTCAATGTATCTGAAATAGTCTTTAAAAATATAAAGTCATTATGAGCTATTTTACATTCTCTTTTTATATATTAAGACTTTGAAAACTGAGCTGTATTTTACAACAATGCATCTCAATTCAGACTCGGCCACCGTCAAGTACTCAATAGCCACTTATGACTAGTAGCTATTTTGTTCAGTACTCAATAGTCATTATGACTAGTAGCTGCTTTGTTAGACAGAATAGCTGTAGAACAAATGGGTAATGTTTCTTTTTTGAGCACACCCCCCCCCAGATCGGCTACATAAGTACAGTACAAACTTAGAAACCATTTAGAAGGTACACAAGAAGTGAGGAGAAGTAGTTATTTCTATGGAACAGGATTGTGGTGAGGGAAGGTGAGGGTTTGTTGTTGTAAGGGTGTTGCCATTGGAGTCTCACGGAAAAGCGATATCGTGAAGAATATGCACACTTATTGAAATTGTGTTTTAAATAAAGGTGACCATCTGCTTGCTCAGGCAAAATGGCGAGTTACTTTATTCATTCTCCTGGCCTATATAGCCAGGGACCACTGCTCTCTCATGGTGAGTGGCAAAGTGATTATGTTACTCCTGGTTTATATAGTCAATCTTGTACATGTGTGCTATACAGCAATGACCTTGTTACATATTGTAATGACCTCATTACATATTATATGACCTCGTTACATATGTAATGACCTCATACAATGACCTCATATTTCATTACAATACCTCTGCACATGCGCATTGGACATCAATGACTTCATTAATTCATTTGAACATCTTGTGACCACCTGCCCTGTAAGTAGTTCCTCCCTAATAATCTGATAATCCACCCAACATACACCTTTAAGCATAACCCTTTCAACATAACCTGGTTTAACATAATTTAATGAAGAACAGGTTGCAGTCATTACTTTCTTTGTTCTTATCTGATGAAGCCTGAGGCTATGGAGGAACAAGGTAGATTGAATACCTGCCCTTGCTGACCTTGTCAGTTTGGAGGCTGTTACTTAGAATCTTTAAGTAAGGTATAAAGAAACTTCTTGGGCATACAGGAATTTGTGTGCAAACCTCTGCTCTCATGTAGGCCTTAAGTCAGGGTTTTTTTGCTGGAAACTTTTATAAGGAATTTTCAGGCTGGACTTCTCAAAAGCCTTTCACGAACCTAGGTTTCATCTGTGCCATTAGATACCTGTATGCATTGGGTAAATTCCTCTTCTCTTGAGGTCCCTGCACACATTTCCATTCCTGGACCCATCAGCAAGCGACCTTCGTAACCTACCACAGATCAGGAAAGGTTACTGATGAGTATCTGGCCAGTTTTCCAAAGGGCTTTTTTATTGGCCTTATAAAGTCAACCTTAATTCCTTAACTCAATCTGGACATCTCTGGAAATGCCATTCCAGCCAGAGCCTTAGTCATGTTAGGTCCGCAACCAACCCAGCCATATGGGATTCTGCCTCAGTTTCTCACAAGTGTGCCTGCACAAAGTCTTTTCACTGCTCTCTCTCAAACGGCAGTTTTGGCCAGAGGCATTATAGGCGTTTTGCCTATAAAGGTTAGTTTATGAACATCTCTTGTTGAATTTATAAGGACCTATTTTATTTTATTAAAAAAGAGGAAAATAATGTTTATTCTTTTCAATGCAATGTCTAGACATTTATTCTAAGAAAATAATAAACTATGTGAACCAACATTTATGACAAGGATGTCCTGGGCAGCATTCCTTATGCAGTAGTCTCCCCTTATCTAAAGTTTCATTTTCTGAGGTTTCAGTCAACTGAGCCTGAAAATATTAAATGGAAAATTCCATAAATAAATAATTCCCATGTTTTAAATTGTGCACTATTCTGAGCAGCTTGAGAAAACCTTGCACCATCCTCCTCCACGTTACCCTGGAGTGAATCACCTCTTCGTCCAGCATATCCATGCTGTAGACATTACCTGCCATTCCCACCTTGGAATACACATATTTATGGGGTTTAGTACATGTGGCTTCAGGCATCCATGGTTTCTGACAGCCACTGGGGGTGTTGTAACTTATCCCTTGCAGATAAGAGGGGACAACTGTATTCAATCCTAGGGGAGACTTAAACCACTGAAACTAGATGAGAAGAGAGCAGTTATGTAACAACTCTTTGCCTTCCAATAAATAAACAGATAGGATCTGAACCCCAGGGGTCATCAAAGCTTCTCTTAACCCTTGAATGGGTGGTTTTCTTTTTTGGTAGGTGAACAGGAATGCTGGGATTTCTGCTGTGAACCTTGTGCTTTGTCATTTTGTGTGGACCCTGCCTCACATTTTCTTCTTCCAATAACCCCATGGCAGGCAAATGAAGCATTCACACACGGTACAAGGCTAAAACTACACAGGAACCCACTGCCTTGGAGGGCCTGTACTTTTAAGATATTTGTCGAATAGAATTTAATGTAACAGCCAGATTTGTTCTGACTAGAGGAAAACTTTGTGGACTAACAAGGAAAGAGGTCCAAGGTGTGAGATGTAAAAAAAAAAAAAGTTGCCAAATAAAATGTAGAGCATGATTCTTTCTGTGTTTTGAAAATCTGTAAAATTATGTATCTACTATCTATGTCTGTATCTATTATGTGCCATCTACCTGTCTCCATGTGAATGGATAGAAAAGGTCATTACTACTGCCCACCTGGGAGTGAGAATGGAGTGTACAGGGATCAGGATCCAAGGAAGGACTCTCAATTTTTACTTTCTGTATCTCAGTACTGTTAAAACTTTTGTAACAACAACAGCAACAAAAGATTTAATACAAATTACCCACCGGTATCAGAACTTGCTTCCTCACAAAGTGCCCAGAAAGAGTTAAGGTAGAGACTTCCAGGTGTTAGAAGTGAGGACAAATTCTGCGTTTGAGGGTGGTGGGTGGGGTTAGGGCTGAGAAACAGCAAGGACCTGGGAGGGGAGGGGAGGGAAGGGGCCAGGGGAGGGCCACCGCTCAGCTCTCAGCCCAGCCAATGGCAGGAAAGTCTCAGGCCCAACGCCCAATTGTGGAGACTATTTCAGGAGTCAGCCTCTGTCTCTGAGTTCATTGTCACCGTAACTTGTCAAAGGAGAACCCAGTGAGCTTCTAGGTTTGGCTACTTGAAGGCAGCTTCTCCTTTACTTGGAAGGTAATGATCTCAAGCCTGGGCTGCTCTGTTGGTGGTGACGGGCTGGTTGCTTTCCTCCTTTTGGTGTATTACGTTGCTTATGGGCTAGGGCTTCACTTTTACTAAGGACAATATTAACACTAAATTTTTTCTTTTAAATCTATAATCCTTTTATTATTATGACAATTATAACTACAAAGCATTAAGAAAATAACTATCATCTCAAAGGAAAAATAGTGGGTCTCTGCAGAGGGCAAGATACACGGTGTTGAAACATTAGGGAGGCTCCTTCTTGGCCTTTCTTTCTCCATGTGGAGAGGAGGGGGCACCGATGCTTTGACCGTTTAGCAATTTGCATGTTATTTCTCTCTGGTTTCACTGGCTTGGAGTGTGGTTACGCTTTCACAGGGTCTGCAGTGTCCATAGCAAAACCCACTTACCATAGATGAGGACAACATCAGGAGTGGATTCTTGCTTTACTTTCCATCTCAAGAGAAAGCTTTAAAATTCCCCTCATTCGTAGCAAAGCTACTTTACAAGAGAAAGTAGGAGAAAAAGAAAAAATGGAAAGAAAGGAAAAGTTTGGAAAGAGGTACCCAGTGAAGTCACCTTGATGTATAGATGCCAATGTAGCAATCTGATTCCCCCTAGTGCTTTGCTCTCAACATCATGGGACCGCTCTCTTCCTTTCCCCCATAGGCTTCCCGAGTGATGGACCCATACGTGATTCAGATGAATGCCAATGGTGACCTCCCCTCTGTTCTGGACATGCATGTTAGCTTAGGTGGCAGAAGCTCTGTGCCGGGAAAAATGAAAGGCAGGAAGGCCAGGTGGTCTGTGAGGCCATCAGACATGTCCAACAAAACTTTTAACCCCATCCGGGCCATCGTGGACGGCATGAAGGTGAAGCCAAATCCAAACAAAACTATGATTTCCCTGTCAATTGGTGAGTTGGGGACATGAGACTGGGGCTGTCATTATCTCCACCCCATTCCCATCCTTACCAGCTGGTTGGAGAAGATGGGAGTGGAGGGAGAGTCTAGTGCTGGACAGGGGAGGGTAACCTCTTGGTGGTTCCTTTTGTTTTTTTTTTTCCCTCCCATGTAAAGGGGACCCAACTGTGTTTGGAAACCTGCCTACAGACCCCGAAGTTACTCAAGCAATGAAAGATGCCCTGGACTCAGGGAAATATAATGGCTACGCCCCATCCATTGGTAAGCTCCTCCTGAGACTATACCTGGTGGCTTCCAAATCTTTAGTGCTCTTATAATAGGACTAAACTTCCAGCAATTCTCCTCACTTTCATGATGCATAATTCATAAGGAGAAGCTAAGATTGAATGGATTTTGGGAAAATGGGCTCAGGAGGCTGAAGCATAAGGCATCAAAGTCCAACTTCTTTTCTGGCTTCCTTTGGCAGACTGGTACTTCTGGAGGCTCCCAAATGTACTTCTCAAATAATGCTTCTGTCCTATCCTTACTCATGCTAAGGTGAAGGCCTTGAGTCTAGCTGGAATTGCTTGCTTACTGAGTCCTCTAGGTCCTAAATTAATTTATTTACTGTCCTGTTTTATTTCTTCTCTATTTGTTTAAGGCCTATTTTCATTATGTCCTGATCACTTTGAAATGTAATTGGAGTGGTTTTAAGATCAAAGAGGTGAAAAGCCTATAGTCCTGGCTACTGGGTGGCCGAGGCCAGAGGCTCACCAATGGCTATCGTGGAAAGATAAAAGATTGTCTCTGATAGAAAGAAATCATTCCTGTTTAGGTTTAATTATTTTCATCTATTAAAAATTTCTACCCTAAAAGAAAAACAAACAAACAAACAAACAAAATTTCTACCCTAAAGAACTTGGCAAAATAAGTCATTCTTCGGCTTTGTTTCACGGTTTCACGTTTTTTTCCCTAGTGTATACATGAACATAGAAACATATTTTTTTTCTTTTTGAGACAGAGTCTTACTTTGTGGTAGAGTGTTGTGGCATCATAGCTCACCACGACCTCAAATTCTTGGGCTCAAGTGATTCTCTTGCCTCAGCCTCCCAAATAGCTGGGACTACAGGCACCTGCCACAACACCTGGCTATTGTTAGAGACAAGGTCTCGCTCTGGTTCAGGCTGGTCTTGAACCCATGAGGTCAGGCAATCCACCTGCCTTGGCCTCCCATAGTGTTGGGATTACAGGCGTGAGCCATCACACCCAGTCTAGAAACATATTCTTTTTTTTTTTTTTTTTGAGACAGAGCCTCAAGCTGTCACCCTGGGTAGGGTGCTGTGACATCACAGCTCACAGCAACCTTCAACTCCTGGGCTCAAGCAAGTCTCCTGCCTCTGCCTCCCAAGTAGCGGGGACCACAGGCGCCCACCACAACGCCTGGCTAATTTTTTTTTTTTTTGGTTGCAGCCATCAGTGTTGTTTGGTGGGCCCAGGCTGGATTCGAACCTGCCACCTTAGGTGTATGTGGCTGGTGCCTTAGCCACTTGAGCCACAGGCACTGAGCCTAGAAACATATTCTTAATGAAGAATAAAAACCCAGTTTCATGCTAAAATCATATTTTATAAAAATACTTCAAAGAGATATCAGGGTCATGGTTTTTAGGGTAACTATTGACATTTTATAAAGTTTCATACAATAAAAAACAAAATTATGACCAGAAGTTAGGTTATAAAAAAGTTTATAGTGATTTTAATTTTTTTTGCAGTTTTTGGCCAGGGCTGGGTTTGAACCCACCACCTCCAGTATATGGGGCCACTCTCTATTCCTTTGAGCCACAGGTGCCACCCTGAGTTTATAATGATTTTAATATCCAAAGTATTAGGGAACTGAAAAGCCAAAACCAAGTCTCCATTTGATAAATGTTCAAAGGATTTAAGCATTTTATGCCAAAGGAAATACAGATAATTATATAGCTAGATAGCCAGATAGATAAATATATATACATATATAATATAGATACATAAACAAGAGTGTTCTTTCTCATTAACAATTAAGGAAATACTAATTTGTATAATTTCAAGAGTTCCATTTATACCTATTAACAAACATTATGAAATAGTGTCTCTGTTTTGTTAACTTGTTTCAGAGTAAAGTTTTGCAAATATAATGGGCATGAATCTGCCTATACTTCAAGCTTGTAAGCCAATACTTGGAAATACTGTACAGGAAAAAAATTTAAAAGAAAAAATTTGCAGAAAATACTTCTATGAATGTTATATAACACACAAAACATAAAACAGACCACATCTGTTAAATGCACTGATTATAACTTTTCTTTCTTTTTTTAAAATTAAATCATATTAGTGCACATTAATACTATCGTGGGATACAGTGTGTTGTTTCCATATACAATTTGAAATACTTTCATCCAATTGGCCAACATCGCCTGATTATAACTTTTCAAAAAATACAATCCTTAAAAGAGATTTAGAAATAATCTAAATCCTTTATTTTACACAGAATAAAACATCATTACAGTGATCAAGACACTATTTTATGGTTTGGGGAGCTCCTTCTTATTACTGTTTAAACATCTGTGTTTATGCTAAAATTGTAAAATGTAAAGTGAATCTCCTTTATCTACAGCAGCTGAGAGCTGAACTAAACAGAATGTCCTCTGTGCAGGGGCAGGATGCAGACTGAAGCCCATGCTGACCCTCTGGGGCATAGCTGTCAGTTGAGGGCTGAAAACTCCACCTTCCACTTTCTATTCTATTTTTCAGGCTACCTCACCAGTCGTGAGGAGATTGCTTCTTATTACCACTGTCCTGAGGCACCTCTGGAAGCGAAGGTGAGCCTTATACAAGGTACCAGCTCTGAAGCAATTTAGGGCTAACAATATCCCCCTTTCCTCGTTTCTGTTCTACAAGGAATAAGTTTGCTGTGCGGGGAAGAAGCTGAGGATAATTCCCCTTTAGCAATTCGAAGACTTCTAGTGTTGTTAGGGTCACTTATCAGGGACTATATTTGGTGTCATTGTGATATAATAATGACACCGCATACAACTTTCATGGTATCTGTTTCAAGGCGTCAATCAAATACAAGATCACCTGTATTTGAGTGTCTGCAAAATGCCATTTAAGAATAATTCATAAACACCAAACAATGACATGTTAAAAATTAACAGAATATTTTTTTTATTTGTAGCTTTTCCCATTCACTGTAAGGACATTCAGAGAGAAAGACAGAGGACATTGGGTTGGTAGCAGTGACAGGTTAAATGATGCAATCCTGCCTAAGGTTTACCGTGTGGGGTCAGCATTTTCTAACATAAAAGGTGTTGTGTTCTTTATTTTCTAACATAAGAGATATATTTCAGAGAAGAGCCAGGTTTCAAATCTCTGGCCAAAAGTAAATAAATAACCAGGTGAAAAAAGTCCAAGGCCAGCAGGCCCTCACATGGAAATCTGCTGAATCACAGCCTACCCGTCCTCTTAAAAGCGACTTGTTTATTTAAGTGGCCAACATTTTTAATGATAGTTAAGATATGAACTTATATATACATATTAATTTCTTTTGGTTTTGGCTTAGTATAGTCCCTCCTACTTTACGTAGAACTTGTTAAAGTAAGTTCATTATTGCTCCCGACTCATCCATCTGACATCCTTTTCTCCTGTTGCTGCTGGGACCCCTAATGAAATAAACCTTTTGTTTTTTCCACAGGATGTAATTCTGACAAGTGGCTGCAGTCAGGCTATTGAACTTTGTTTAGCTGTGTTGGCCAACCCAGGGCAAAACATCCTGGTTCCGAGACCCGGTTTCTCTCTCTACAGGACTTTAGCTGAATCTATGGGAATTGAGGTCAAACTCTACAACTTATTGGTAAATAACTTCAAATTTGTTTTTTTATTTCTAAGACAGAGTCTCACTCCATCACCCTGAGTAGAGCGTCATGGCAGCATAGCTCACAGCAACCTCAAACTCTTGGGCTCAAATGATCCTCTTGCCTTAGTTCCCATGTAGCTTGGACTACAGGTGCCCAGCACGACACCTGGTTAAGCTTTCTATTTTTAGTAGAGACCAGGTCTCACTCTTGCTTAGGCTGGTCTCAAACTCGTGAGCTGAAGTAATCCACCTGCCTTGGCCTCCCACAGTGCTAGGATTATAGGTGTGAACCACCTCGACTAGCCAACTTTAAATTTTAGACTCAAGTGCTCACTTACTACCTTGTAAAAATATATGACCATTACCTCAGGAGCAGAAGGTCTGAAAGTAGGTGGCTGAGTCCAAAGACACATTTTATTACTTCCATTGCACTCTTGGGTTAAGTGAGTAGTCCCCCTAAATTTTTCACAATCATCTTTATCTCATTCTTGCTTCCTCTCTAGCCAGAGAAGTCTTGGGAAATTGACCTGAAACAACTGGAATCTCTGATTGATGAAAAGACAGCTTGTCTCATTGTCAATAATCCGTCAAACCCCTGTGGGTCAGTGTTCAGTAAAAGTCATCTTCGGAAGATTCTAGCAGGTAAGTTCAGCAGACTTCACGGAGGAGGAGATGGGGACAAAATTCGTTAGCTCTTTTCTGGAATGACAAAAAAGTCTGGAACTTCTCTAAGTTCCAAACCTGTGATGGAGAGAGAGGGGCCCCACCAGCATCTCTAGTCAACAGTGTGCCAGAGGAGTGGTAGGACTTGCCTAAAGGAAGGAGAAAAAGAAATACTTGCTTCTTCACCACTCCCATCACGTAGAAGAGAGTTGAATTGTCTAGTCAATTAAATGGCAGATTCAGTCTCTGTACCATGGAAGAATATCTGAATTTTCAGTTCTTAAATAGGAAGACAAGACATGCAAACATAAAATACAAAGCACAAGAAGACCAGGTGAATATTAAGTGAAAGCGAAAAGGCAATTCACGTTGAAAATAATTTCAAATCATGTTTCTCTTATTTGCAGTGGCTGCAAGGCAGTGCGTCCCCATCTTAGCTGATGAGATCTATGGAGACATGGTGAGTCTTGGTCAGGATATACAACTATGATAATCTCAATCCCAAATTATTTTATGGGATTTTTAGAGGTGGAAACTGGAATAATCAGAAGCAGCTCCTTTCAGTACAGCAAATCAGCATCCCTGCACTCTCATCAAATATAAACTCCTTAGCCAGTTTTCCAAAACCCAAAGCACTCTGGAAATCCCAAGACTCTTAGAATTCATTTGTTTGCAAAACTTGATTTGGCCTGCTAAAAAGATATTTGTAGATTTTATGTCTCCCACTTAAGGATCTAGATATTTGTTAAGAGTGTAGGGGAGGTAGGAGAAATGTTAACTATTCTTGAGTAGGAATGCCATCATAGACTGTTCTGGGAGAGTTACATAAAGAACATAAAGGCTCAGCACCTGTGGCTCAAGCGGCTAAGGCGCCAGCCACATACACCTAAGGTGGCAGGTTCGAATCCCCAGCCCGGGCCCGCCAAACAACAATGACAGCTGCAACCAAAAAATGGCCAGGTGTTGTGGTGGGCGCCTGTAGTCCCAGCTACTTGGGAGGCTGAGGCAGGAGACTTGCTTGAGCCCAGGAGTTGGAGGTTGCTATGAGCTGTGATGCCATGGCACTCTACACAGGGAGATAGCTTGAGGCTCCGTCTCAAAAAAAAAAAAAAAAAAAGAACGTAAATACGCCACAGGACCTTTCTAAAGTCCAAACCATTCTTCATTCTGCAACATATCTGGGGCCAGGAATTTCAGATAAGGGACTGGGGGCCCATATTTTATTTTTAAATCTGTAACTCCAATAGTCACTAATTCCATAGAGCCAGCTTCTTGGAGTCATACATATTACTGTGTGAGGGTCAATTTCCTCATTTTAGCTTCCTTTAATCCACACTAGACACCAAATTCTTTGGATAGCCCCCTCTGAAACCTCTGGGAATCCCAATCATGCCTCAGGGTAGGAATGAGCCTATTTACCCAAGGCCTCATCCCTAGTGATAGAAGGAAAAGGTCAGGAGGTGTGGGATCTGGGATTCCAGAGGGGAAGTAAGCAAGAAGATGATCATATTTGGCACCTCTCTCCTCAGGTGTTTTCAGATTGCAAATATGAACCACTAGCCACCCTCAGCAATGACGTCCCCATCCTGTCCTGTGGAGGGCTGGCCAAGCGTTGGCTGGTTCCAGGCTGGAGATTGGGCTGGATTCTCATCCATGACCGAAGAGATATTTTTGGCAATGAGGTGAGAATAATGTGGTGAAATAGTATGTATATTGTAGGGTATTTTCTTTCGAGTGACAAAGTAGACTTTTTGCTCCATTATCTTTTTCTTGGCAGTCACACAGCAGGTGTGTGGCAGAGCTGAGCTCCAAACCTAGGTGGTCTAAGAAGGCCACTAGGCACTATTGCTTCCCAAGATTAAAAATCTGATAGAAAAAGAGGTCAGAAGAAGAATCCCCCAAGTAGGGACACTTAGGCTAAAGCTAAATGATGTGTTTCTTGGGGGGACTTTTAGATCCGAGACGGGCTGGTGAAGCTGAGTCAGCGGATACTGGGACCCTGTACCATTGTCCAGGGAGCTCTGAAAAGCATCCTGCGTCGTACCCCACAAGAGTTCTACCACAACACCCTAAGCTTCCTCAAGGTAAGGGCAGCCCATGGCCTTCCACTTTGGGAGTTTAGGAGCTGGAGAAGGCCACCAGTGGAATTAGGAATGATGGGTTCTAAGTTCTGGAGCAATGTTCCAACATGGGGCTTCCATATCAGGGGCAGCTTCTGTGTAAGTATCCACCCACACATTTCTCTCACTTCTGGCAATTTGCTCTGCTCCTGGTGGAAAACTTCAAGTGATGGAGCTTTTTCTTATTGGCTCCTTATGCCAGAAGATCAAACATAGGTTCCTGGTTTTCAATGAGGGCTCTAATTTTGACAACTTGGGTTTTCTTTTACTTAATTTTTGATCCTGATTTCTCTCTGCCTCCTTTTATAGTCCAATGCTGATCTCTGTTATGGGGCACTGGCTGCCATCCCTGGACTCCAGCCAGTCCATCCTTCTGGGGCCATGTACCTCATGGTAAGTCTGTGAGTGGCAGGCACTAGATTTATCTATGTTATAAAGCAGAGGGAAGCCAGGCAGCAGGATTGCCACAAAGAACCAGCTAGGCTCCTGGGTCAGTCTTATTCTGATGTCCCATTGATGTAATTTAACTGCAGTGCTCGTAATACTCTTAAAATGAGTAAAACTCTTAAAACTCTTCAGTACAGAGAATCACTTAATGTGGAAATATAGGGAATATATAAGATGTAAGTGAAAGGCTTTCTGTTCCACTGTGGTTTTCAACTGGGAGTGATACTGGTTCCCTAGTGGAGTTTGGAAATGTACAGGAAATTGTCAGTTTTCAGAATGACTTGGGAGTGCTATTTATTTATTTATTCATTTAGCATTCCTGGTCCACAAAATGCTATTGCCATTTAGACACCCTACAATGGGGGAGACACTCCCATGTAATAAAGAATTGCCTGGCCCTACTGTTAAGGTCAAAATAATGCCAGTGCCTCTTTTGAGAAACACTGGTGTTCTATTTCCAGCTTTCACTTCTTGGCATCTAGAAAGGAACTGTTCAATAAATGAAAATATTAATATAAATATATCCTCTCCTCCCTGAGAAAAATTCCGTGAGTTCCTCAATGCTAAGCATTCTTAGTTATTAGTGGTAACATTCCAAGATAATCTTTTGAAGTAGACCCTCCTTTGATTTTTGGCCATAGGGTGTTGGCCTGTTCTCCCACCTTCTGATAAGTTTGCCTCTCCTTCTTCTTATTGGTATAGGTTGGAATTGAGATGGAACATTTCCCAGAATTTGAGAATGATGTGGAGTTCACGGAGCGGTTAGTTGCTGAGCAATCTGTCCAGTGCCTCCCAGCAATGGTGAGTGCTTATATCTCTCTCAGGACGTTCTTGTTTCTACGGCCCCGGGAGCTCTCCCTGGGTTGGTTTTTAGCCTGAGCACTTCTCCTCCAACAAAGTGTATTCTAATTTGGTAAATTCAAACTGATGTGTCTGATAGGTCCATTTAAAATTTCTCTCCACGTGGGAAGAAAAGTTGCAAACAAACATTTTAAGTAGGAGGAAATCAAACTTGTCCCATAAATCTCTTTTAGCATGAGTGAACTCAGTTACTTAGCACTACAGTGATGGGGAATGAATAAACTGATGGCCCTGATAAAATGGCATCATTGCTTCTTGCTGATTAGGGCCTAGCCATTTTAGGGTAGTGCAATACCAGATTCAATTGCTCTGAAAAATAATAGGCTCTTATTTTTGCAGTGCTTCGAGTATCCGAATTTTTTCCGAGTGGTAATCACGGTCCCCGAGGTGATGATGTTGGAGGCTTGTAACCGGATCCAGGAGTTCTGTGAGCAGCACTACCATTGTGCTGAAGGGAGCCAGGAGGAGTGTGATAAATAGACCCTCATTCGTTCTCCCGAGGATGTGTCCTATCTGGGAATGGCTGGACCGGCCTTACCTCTCCTCAGGGAGTCAGATGGCCCTACTGGGAGAAGGGCCTCCAAAGCACCATGTTACATGTTCAGGATTGCTCTGCTTTTCCTCTTAAACCCACATACACATTCAGTCCCTCTGCTCTACTGGAGTGACTTGCTAATTCATTAACCTGCCCTCCCCTGTGATTGCCTCCTTTTTTCTTGAGAGTACCAGGTGAACAAAAGTTCCAGAAAGCAGCTGAGCTAAGAAAATAAGGGCTCAGAATGAGAGAAGCAAAAGATGGAGAGAACTTGTACCCTCACCATTTCCACACACTCTAAGTAAGAACATACTCTCTCCTGTCAGGTCTGAAGCCCAACTCAGTTAGTGCCTCACTTCAGGTATAACTCACTTTATGCAATAGAATTATAATTGGAAAGAAGTTGGGGACACACATATTTGGTTAATTATATTTGAAGATGTTAGGCAAAGTTTCTATTTGAAGGATTCCTGAAAGAAGCCTTTTTGTTGATTTTTTTTTTTTTTGGTAAAGAAATGTTTTGTGTTGCAAATAAATATCCTTTGATTGATTGACTTCCTAAATTTAGATTTGTGCGCATCAGGCTTTCTTAAAGTGAGAGCACATGTGTGTTACAGAAAGGAGGAATCAGACAACCTTCCAGAAAGACTGCTGTTAAGGGCCAGAAATATCCTTATTGTTATGGAATCATTACTTTTGCTGTAATGTTAATATTGATTTATTATGTTATATTATCTTTTCATACGTTTTCTAAGAAACATTTATATAGACAAGGTCCTTTATTTTGCCAAGAGCATAAATTATTGTTTTTCTTCTTTTTTTAAAAAATAAATTTTACCAAGTATGTGCTGCTGTGATGTGTTTTTTTCTCCTCTGCAGGGAAATTTCTATCCTCAGGCATTGCTCAATGTGACTGCTGCATTACCCACTAGGTTTCATTTACTTCTTTGTAAATGTTCTGACTTTTGGAGTTACTTAACCACAATTCCTAAGACATTTTATCTGGGCGCTCAACTTCTGACTCCCTACTTACAGGGCAAACTTAGAGGCAACAAATTATAACTATTGGCCCTTATCTTTATACTTTTAACATTTTTGGATCCCTAACATCTAGTCCCAAATTCCCACCCTTGCCTAGATCCACTACCACTTATTAGGGAACAAATTCAAACCCATTCAGCTTGACCCAGCAATGACAGGTATCCCAGACCTTCCTTCAGCATGAGCTTTTTGTCTGCAAATTCTCCTAGGCACGGTTGTCTGTTTATTTTTTTTCCTCCCCATTTCCCTTAGAGGAGGGAGCCTAAAGTTACCTTGTAAGGTTGAAGACAGAAATATACCATAATCAGGAGATTCATCACCAAGGGATGTTCTCCTTATGTGGAAGAGGAAACTTAGGTCTCAACCCTGCCAGTCACACCCAAATAATTTCCTTTACAAAAATAAACATCAAAAGTTCCCTTCCAATCTAAGTTTGAGTTCAGTGAGCTAACGCTAAAATTTATCTTTTAATTTTCCTCAGTAAATCCAAAACGAATATACAATGATTAAGATAATAGAGATTTCAGTTTCCTGTACGTCACCACTGCTGACAAGTTTCCAAAAATGCCTGGCTCCTCTTTTCCTTTCTTCCCATCCAATCCCCTAAAGATATCTGTCCAGAAATAAACAGGAATACTTAGTGGTTTACGGTATACACAAGACGTTTTAGATTCACACATTACAGAATTCTCTTGAGAATTTCCTTGGTATCTACATTTTGATAAATGAGCCAAATGAACATTCAATCTTTTTTAAAATAATAAATGCACATTGACAAATCTCAATTACTGTCCTTTCTCATCCCTGCCCTTCAGCCATTCACTTTCTTCTCTCCCGAAGCAATCAGTTATTAGTTGCCGGTTCATACTTCAAAATTATTCTGTGCACATGCAAGTTGTTTATGAACGCTTTTTTTTTTTTTTTTTCAAATCAACTACTCCTTAACTTTACAATTCTTCCCTATGGAAGTCAAACAACGGATGACATTTCTGAAGTGTCCATCATGTCTCGGATGTCTCTAAATAAAAAAGGAATTCTCGGGCGGGGGTTGCTTCCTAACAAGTTTAAAATTCGCATGAGAGAGCTAATTGCCAGCTATCTGAGCACCTTGAGACTACAAAAAGGTCGGAGGGCTCTCAAAACTGTGCATTCGCCTTTCTTCCTATGTCGGAGCACCGCCTACCGGGGAACTGGCGAGCACCTCAAACGTGCTGCCATAAAGCACCGAGCCTAGCCCGCCCGCAGCAGCCATCAACTCTCGGACCGGGGACGCACGCCTGCGCAGTGGGCTGCGCTGCGCAAGGCGCACGCGCGGTTGCTGGACTACGCATGCGCAGACAGTGGGGGCGCTCCAGCCGCAGGACCCAAGCGGACCGCGAGAGGGTGTTCCGGTAGCGCCTGCTTTTTCTTACTGAATTCCATTTTGTTTCTTCCCTCGGCCTCATCTCCCAGATTTACCCCCTATTTCGAGTTTCCCTTTCTCCTTTGCCCCGGATTTGGGTCCTGTCTTGTGGAAGGCTCTCAGGAAGTTGACAGAGCATCCTTGGGAATTGTAAACACCTGTTAATCCTTTCCTAGCTCTAGGCCAGTTTCAGCAAGTCCGGTGAGTTGTGAAGCAGACCAGAAAATCCCTTTACCTGGTGTCAGTTTTCTATAGTATGGTTCCCCCACCCCCGGAACTTTTCTCCAAAGAATCGTGTCCCTCACCGTCTTGGGTCTCTTACCGTTAGGGTCTCTTCTCAGCCACGAATCCACTCCTACGCGCTTGTCAGAGATAAAGCCAGACACTAAAGTGGTAAGGACAGATTTTAATCAGTAATATCCTATTGAAATAGAGAAGAGTTCAGCACAAACTCAACCTCGACTTTGGTTTGTACAGAGGTGACAGCCTTTTAAAGGGAGACGGGTGTGGGTGACTCTACAGTAGAGTCAGAGAAGTGAACATTTTAAAAAAGTGGGAAGGGGTTTGGTCCATGTGAAACCCATCTGGGTTTGTTAAATGGTCCTTGTGGAAGTTAGACTTCTACTCTCTCACGGGTGCTGGGAGGCAGGGACCCCATCTTCAGGTGCTGCTTAGGGCAAATAGTGAATTCTTTTGGCTCCTGAGCTTTTTCAGGCAGGCACTTTAAGGGGACTAGGGTCATTTTTGGGATATGGCCTTGAGCTGTTAGAAATTATGTTTTGTTTGGATCTGTTAAAGTCTAATGGAGAAAAAGCTCAGAGGATCCTGGCGAGAGTTTACCAAGGAAAGAATTTTTGTCACTTTACGTGCTCTGCACGTTGCTATGCACATACTCTCTATGGGCCAAATTGTTTCACGGCACCTGCCCAGGAGGCAGTCATTTGCTGACATTTCACGTAGAAGTATATTATGTAAGAAGTGATGCCCAGTTTCTCAAAGAAACCAATCAGCAGAAGATCCAACACATGGCATGTCTTAATTTTGTCAGTGTTTCAAACATAGAAAAGAATTCTTGCTCATTCATTATTCGATAACCACAGTTCAGTCCCTTGATAGAGTGTGGTGGCGTCATAGCTCACAGCAACCTCAAACTCTTGCGCTCAAGCTGTCCTCTTGCCTGAGCCTCCTGGGTAGTTGGAACTATAGTTGCCTGCCACAACAGCTCAGCTATTTTTAGAGATGGAGGTCTTGCTCTTGCTCAGGTTGGTCTCAAATTCTTGGGCAATCCACCCACCTCAGCCTTCCAGAAGTGCTAGGATTACAGGTGTGAGCCACTGCACCGGGCCATTTTGATGCCCCATTTTAAAAGTAAACCCAAGAGTGTGCTCCCTTCAGCAGTGCATCTACTAAAATTGAGATAATATGAATATTAGCATGGTACTAGAAAACCAAATTAAACAGTACATTAAAAGGATTATTCACCAAGTGGGATCTATTCCTGAGATGCAAGGACAGTTCAACATATAAAAATCAAACAAAATATCACATTAACAGAATGATGTACAAAAACCCCATAACCGTCTTAACTGTTGCAAAAAATTAGTTGACAAGATTTGATACCCTTTTGTGATAGAAACTCTCAACAAACTAGGCATGGAAGGAAACTATGTCAACATAATAAAGGTTGTATATGAAAAGCAGACATCTGACATCGTACTCAGTACTGGGAGCCTGAAAGCTTTTCCTCTAACATCAGGAACATACCCCCTCTCACCACTTCCATTCAACATAACATTGGAAGTGGTAACCAGAGCAATTAGACAGGAAAAAGGAAAAAAAAAAGGCATCTGAATTAGAAAGGAAGGAGTAAAATTATCTCTGTTCACAAATGATACAATCTTACATGTAAAAAACCCTAAAGATTCCACACACAACTCTTTAGAACCAGTAACTGGATTCAGCAAAGTTGTAGGCTGTGAAGGCAATATGGAAAAATCAGTTTTTAAAATTTTTCTTGAATTTTGTATTTGTTTTAGTTTGAAGTTTATTTTATTATTATTTTTTTTGAGACAGAGTCCCACTTTGTTGGTAGAGTGCTGTGGCATCACAGCTTACAGCAACCTTAAACTCTTGGGCTGAAGTGGTCCTCTTGCCTTAGTCTTCCAATTATCTGGGACTATAGGTGTCCACCACTATGCCTGTTTTATTGTATTGTATTTTATTATTATTTTTTGAAACAGAGTCTCACTTTGTGGCCCTTGGTAGAGTGCCGTGGCATCCCAGCTTACAGCAATCTCAAACTCTTGCACTTAAGCGATTCTCTTGCCTCAGTCTCCCAAGTAGCTAGAACTAAAGGCACCTGCCCCAAGACCCTGCTTTTTCTTTCTTTCTTTTTTTTTTTAAGAGTTGAGGTCTTTCTCTGGCTGGGGCTGGTCTTGAACTCCTGAACTCAGGGCAATCCACTTGCCTTGGCCTCACAGAGGGCTAGGATTACAGACCTGACGACCTTGCCCAGCTTCAATGAATGATTTTAAAAAAATTAAGAAACAATTCTACTTGAAATGGCATCAAAAAGAAGAAAATATTTAGGAATAAACCTAATCCAAAAGAAGTGTGTGCAATTAAAACTATAAATCATTACCGAAAGAAATTAAAGAAGACAAGAGTTAATAGAAAAATATCTCATGCTCATGGATGAGAAGACTCAATGTTGTTATGATGTCCATGTCACCCTAAGTGATCTACAGATTCAACATGATCTCTATCAAAATCTCAATGGCATTTTTAGCAAAATACAAAAAAAAAAATCACCCTAAAATTTATATGGAATCTCTAGGGACCCTGAACAGCCAAAATAATTTTAAAAAGGAATAATAAAATGGAAAGAATCACACTTTCTGATATGAAAGGACATTACAAAGCCACTGTAATAAGAACACTGTGGTACTGGTGTAACGACAGACAAATGGACCAATGGATTAGAATAGCTGAGAAATAAACCTTCATAAATATGGTTAAATGATTGTTGACAAAGGTACCAAGATCACTCAGTGGAGAAATGACAGTGTCTTCAACAAATGATTTTGGGAAAAAACCAAGATATCCACATGCGAAAGAATGACAGGTGGAGAAATTGGAACTTTTTGTATTGTTGGTGGGATTGCAAAATGGTGCAAACACTGTGGAAAACAGTATGGCAGTTCCTCAGAAACTTAAAAATACTACTACTATATGATCCAGCATTACCACTTACAGGTATATTTTCAAAATAATTGAAAGCAGGATCTCAAAGAGATGCTTGCACATTCATGTTCATAGCAGCATTATTTGCAATATTCATGAAGCAGAAACAACCAAAATGTCCATTAAGGGCTGCAGGGACAAACAGAATGTGGTAAATA